TCCATCAATTAATATCTCTTGAAGTGAAAAGCTGCGTGTTTGTAAGAAACTTAATAAGACTCATCATATTTTAAAACTTCAAACAGCTGCTTCCAGCTAAAATATGAGTCCTCTATCCATAATATTGCTTTCTCCAGTGAAAACATTGTCTAGTCTGATTTAAAAGAGAAATATGAACAGATCAAGCATTGTTTACAAGTAAAAAGCAGCAGTTCTAGACATATGTGGGTGGATTTTGACGTGAAGGGACTAAAGAAGATCTTTTCACTAGACGAAGGGTTATTATGGACTGTTATTTTAGCCAGAAGAAGTGAAGGTTTAATGTTAAAACGCCTTGATGGGTTTGTTTCTTACAAACGCTCTGCTTTTCACTTCACAAGATGACAGCTGATGGAGTTGTGTTGATTATTGTAATGTTTTTATCAGCTGTTTGGACTCTCATTCTGATGGCACCCATTCACTGCAGAGCATCCATTGGTGGTGAGCAAGTGATGTAACGCTAAAATTTCTCCAAATTTGTTGCGATGAGGAAACAAACTCTACATCTTCTATATCTTGGATTGTCTGAGTACCTTTTCTGCAAATATTCATTTTTGGGTGAACTATTCCTTTAGTATTTCTTATAGGCTTTTAATGTCTATAACTGCCATTTCTCCTAACATAATATGATAAATGAACTCCAATCCCAGAAGTGTCAAAATAGTCCTGCATGGGTGGAGTGTTGATTTTACTCCTGACATGTTTGAGTCATTTTTGTTTACACCTGCAATTAGTTGGGTTTTCATAAGGAGTGCTATACTGGGACATACTGTTCATCCAGTGTTGGTTTGTTTTGACAAGAATATGAGGATCAGACCTGTTTCAAGTGTCTCGAGTTTGAATGCACAACAAGCCTGGACAATTTTGTAATAAGGATGCAGATTTGTGATAGTATAGTACATGTTTTGCCTCTTAATGTTGCACTTGTTGTTGAAGAGTTACTTGCCACACAAGTCCAAGACAATAAACATGACATTGCAACAAGTTGATTTTACACAATTAGTATTTCTTAATACGCCAAGCAATGGTGTTGCAAAAAAAAAATCATGGGATCTGTCACAAATGCTTAAGCTATACCAGGAGAACGCTTTTGGGCCCCCTTCATCATCACAGGACCGGGACATTCATGCTTGTTGTTTCCAGATGATTGGCATGACTCAAGTCTGGGTTGGTAGTTTTTCCAGACTCGTATGCACTCATATGCATTTTGTTGCAGTGGTTCTTATTGGAGAATCTGGCGTTGGCAAGAGCAACTTGCTGTCACGGTTCACCAAGAATGAGTTTAGTCATGACAGCCGGACAACCATCGGAGTGGAGTTCAGCACAAGAACTGTGCAGCTAAACGGCCTCACCATCAAAGCTCAGATCTGGGACACAGCCGGATTGGAGCGGTACCGGGCCATCACTTCTGCGTGAGTTTAACATGGGTATAACATTGAAGTACCTGACAAATGGTGATGCAAAACAAGCAAATATGCCCATAGTTCCCCAAAAACGACAATTATATCAATTACTCAGCATCATGTTATGTTTTTCTTGTTTCTGTGGAACATGAAACACTTTTTCATAAAAGGGAATGGTGACCACAGGTGTGAACTCAAATAAAAATAAATAGTTTTATTTGATTTATTTTACTGTAATTAATAATTATTTTCATTTCTTATTTACATTATAAACTCTACTGTTGGGGTAGGTGTGATTTCTTTTTTTTCTTTTCTTTTCTCTGCTCACCAAGGCTGCATTATTTAATTAAAAATACAGTAATATTGTGAAATATTATTGCAAATTAAAATAACTGTAATTTATAATAAATGTAATTTATTCCTGTGATGCAAAGTTGAATTTTCAGCATCATTGCTCCAGTCTTCAGAGTCACATGATCCTTCAGAAATCATTCTAATATGCTGCTTTGCTTCTCAAGAAACATTTCTGATTATTATCATAATTGACACCGGGATACCATTTTTTTCAGTATTCTTTACTGAATAGAATGTTCAAAGATACATTTAGAAATGTTTTGTAACAATGGGAAAGTCTTTACAATCACTTGCGATCAATCTAATGCAAAAATATTAATTGATCAAAAACTAGAAACAAAATCTACTTCCACTCTATGGACCAGAGCAGTCTGGTGAGGAGATGATGACATTTATTTTAATTAAATGTATAATTAAATGCACAGAATAACATAATTTTACGTGAACTGTCCCTTTAAGTAGTTCGCTCATACTCTGAATATATTTGCATGCAAATACATTTTTGCCTGTATGTAAATTGTCATTCATCTATTCTTTAACAAATTGAGAAAAATGTAACACATCATGTTTCACCACCCATTGCTATACAATTCATTTCTCACCTGTTGTTCTAAACCATTTTCATTATGTAATCTTGCATATGACATAATGTTTTATGACAGTGTTCTGTTCGTTTAAAAAGAGGAAGTAAATCGAGTCATCTGATTTGATCTGATCTGTTTTCCTGTATCTCAGATATTATCGAGGAGCGGTTGGAGCTCTACTAGTCTATGACATTTCAAAGCACTTGACGTATGAAAGTGCCGAGCGCTGGCTGAAGGAGCTCTATGATCACGCAGATCCACATATCGTAGTGATGCTTGTGGGCAACAAAACGGACCTGTCAGCTGAACGAACTGTTCCAACAGAGGACGCAAAGGACTTTGCAGGTCATTACTGAAGACAGCTTATTATATTATACAGGCTTACTCAAAATTCACAGAGAAACTCAAAAGGCTTCACCACAACCCTTCAAAATAAAAGTTCGGCCTAACTTGAAGAAATTATAACAGAAATATATTACTATTGCACATACTGGAGAAAATACGAAATCATATACATATTACTAGTGCACAGTAGGAATATTTTAAGGAATATTAAAATGCCTCATTCATGTTTTAATAAAAAAAATAATGATTATTTTATTTATTAAAAATGAAAGCAATTATTACATTTTTGTTTGACTACATTTTAAAAGATTAACTAAACTGTTAGTTTTATCATTTGATTTGATTACTACCATTGATAGTATTAGTATTGATAGTAGTATTAATAGTACATTTGTATTTGGTATTACAGTGTTTTTTTATATTCTATGTACCGACAGTAAAATAAGCCACTATAAACCCATATAAATGTCCAGTCATGAAAAGAAAAAAATACCTTTACTCTAAAGAAAATCAGTAAAAATGTACTGTAAATCAGGTACAGTGTACTAAATTAATATGAGGGAACTTTGAAGGTGTTTTATCTGTATTTTGAATGTTGCAGTGCATTGTGTTTTAGAGTTAACAGAGATGTAAATGAATGTACATTATACATTTCCAGTCTATTTTTTTTTTAAACAATGAAACCGCAATGTAAGAAAAAAAAAATCAGTAAAAAATGGATAACATCCTTGCGTAAAATTACATTTTCTGTTAAATTTACAGACATTTTCTTAAACCCTCAAACACTACACAATGCAAAGCATAATTCAAATAATGGGCTAAACACCTGTAACATAAATCAGTACAGAATTTTCCTTCATAGTACATTGGGCAGTATTTTTACAGACTTCTCTTAGCGTGTATATATTATAATATAATATAATATTATATTGGGGGGAGTCGTGGCCTAATGGTTAGAGAGTCGGACTCGTAACCCAAAGGTTGCGGGTTCGAGGGTTTGAGTCTCGTACCGGCAGGGATTGTAGGTGGGGGGAGTGAATGTACAGCACTCTCTTCCCCCTTCAATACCACGACTGAGGTGCCCTTGAGCAAGGCACCGAACCCCCAACTGCTCCCCGGGCGCCCACTGCTCCGGGTGTGTGTTCACTGCTGGGTGTGTGCACTTTGGATGGGTTAAATGCAGAGCACTAATTCCAAGTATGGGTCACCATACTTGGCCACATGTCACGTCACTCACTCACTCATTTAGCAAAACCAAACAAAGTTAATCTTGATATTCATATTATCATTCTTTTTTGTAGAAAAGAATGGTCTTCTGTTCATGGAAACCTCTGCTTTGGAGTCCGTAAACGTCGAGGCAGCGTTCAACACTGTGCTTACAGGTAGCTACTGTTTATTCTGAACACATCATACCGTATTTACATGTACTCTACATGTGTTCCTTGCCCTCTGGGTTTCTCCTCTTCAGTCAGGCTTGAAATAGTGTAAAGACTTCATTATCATAATCATGCTGTCATCGTTTGATCTCTTTCTTTCAGAAATCCATAAAAAGGTGAGCAGCAAAGAAGTGACCCGAGGCTCTATCAATGCTGTGACATTATCCCAGCCTAAAGCTGCAGCAGATGACGCACAGGAGGAAAAGAAGGCCTGCTGTAAGAACCTGTGAAAGAAGATTCCGGGTAGAAGGACTTCACCAGGGGCCTAAAGGAGTTGTGAATTCAGCAAAAAAACAAAAGGAAATCCATTTCATTGACTGACATAGCCACATTTGTATTGTTAAATATTATATCAAGTAAAAGGCATTTTAGTGTTTGACGAGGATTAATGTCAATTTTAATTAATTGTAATGTGTTTCCCCTAAATGTTCCCAGTAGGAAAGTTTTGTTTGTATTATTTATGAAATGTCATGCCAAACTTTTTTTTTTTAACTTAAATTTATTCATTTAACAGACACTTTTTTTTTTTAAATCCAAAGAGACTTACAAATGAAGAATACAACAAACTATTCATCTTCCTCAAGTTATAAGATCAACAGATGCTGGAGGAATAACTTTATCACTTTAATATTTTTCGATTTGCATGTTCATCCTCACTGTTTAGTTTTTAATTTGATTTATTCAACACACCTAATGAAGACAACTGACAAAAAACCCACACACATATGATTAAGAAAATTATTTTTATTAAGACTAATCAGCCGTAATTAAATATTTTGTGTTATTAAAATCTATAAATAAAGCATTTATAAGCAAAGTGTTGATTTGTATCTTCATAAATGAATTCTGATGCTGCAGGTATTATCAGTTGCTGCTGTTAACACAACATAAAGAAAATATATACAGCATGTCATTTTCCAATAAGAAGTAAAGCAGAAATATGTATGAAAATGTCTGAATTGTTTTTTCACAGTGAGTCTCAAGTGCAGTTTGCCAAATGTCTAACAACACAACATTTATGAATAATCATTATTCAATATAAAGAGAATAATAAATGTGTAAGAATTTAAGGATAAGCTTTCAATTTATTACTTGGAAAATTCATTGATTTGACCAGTTTGAATTAGAACGGGCTCTTTGCAATCATAAATGTTGGATTAATTATGATTATTTATAGTAATTGTGAAATACACCACTATATATAAAAATTCTTAATTAGAACTTTAGTCTCATGCTCACCAAGGCTGCATTTATTTGATTAAAATGACCATAAAAATAGTAATATTGTGAAATATTATTTCTATTACTATTTTTATGGTAAATAAACACAGCCTTGATGAGCATAAGAGACTTCTTCTATGTACTACTAATCAAAAGTTATTTTGTAAAAATGTTTTTGAAAGAATATACAGTGGGTACGGAAAGTATTCAGACCCCCTTAAATTTTTCACTCTCCAGCTATTGATCATCTTAGGTCAGGCCGAAGCAAGTGTCATGTTCCAAAACACGGCTACCTTCTGGACTTTCCAGCAGGGCAAAAGATATAGAAATTGTACATTTTAATCATTTCTAAATGCCATTTTTTTTATTGATTATATAATGCACAACATGACTGGCTTCTCCTAATGTGTTTTGTTTTATTTTATAATTTTCATATATATATTATATATATTATATATATATATATATATATATAATACATTTGAACTTACGCTGTGGAAACAAACAATTTGGACATGTAATGCACTTGCCACACAGAAAATGGAAAAAAAAGTATTTTTGTGGAAATTCATTTAGAATTTTCCTTCTATGGTGTCTGCAATATAAGCACAGTTAAACCGGTAAGACCTGTATAAATCAGGTCCTTCTCAGGATGGGTTTGCATTCGGGTTTTAAAAACTCTCTCATTTAAATCAGATCATCACTCGGATCATTCATTTGTTCTATTTTGATATATAGCCAATTATTCGAGATTGAAGGAGATCAAGTGTAAAAGGTTGAGGATTTCCTTTAGTAATTGACTACTGAAGCGAATACTAAATGATATAATTTTTTACTAATCTGACCTCTTTGATGTCTGCGGTGATTATGTCCATGAATTTGACACTTCCATTAGTCAAAGTTCTGCTCTTGACCTCCGTGTGTTTAAGCTGTCCGTGGACCTTTCGCTGTTTGACCATGAATCAATCAGTGCTGTTCAATCACCGCTCTGCTCTTTAAACATGTCTGTGTCCACCAGCTTTAAAACAAGCAGACGTCTTTGTCAAAGTGCATTCCTGTGTGCCTAACTCGGATGTTATTAGCTGAGGCATCTGTTATGGATTTCATTCTTTCATGCTGTCGAGTTGGCAACATTAACCCAATTTATTTCAGGTTTAGGTTGAATAAAAATTGTAATTGTAATTGTTTAATCACCTTCATGTCATGTTCCAAATGTTTTTTCTGAAGTCACACAACATCTTTGTGTGATGAGTAGACTGGAATTTAAGTCATAATCTTTCTGTCCTCAAAAGCTTTGAAATCGTATTCACGTTCACATTCAAAAAATGAAAATAAATGAGATTTGATGTTCTTGAAGCATCTTTTATTATTTTACATAAAAGTGTTCCTCTTATCTCTTACAGTATGCCCACATAGACTGTACTGATTTAATAAAAAAAAAAGATTAAAAACAATTCACACACTACTGTGTGAAAAATAAACTACTTTTATTTTTAAGTCTCTTAAGACTGCATTTTTTGAAAAAAATAAATAAATACTGTAAAATCAGTAATATTGTGAAATATTATTACAATATTTCTGAATATAGTATTTTAAAATGTAATTTATGATGCAAAGCTGAATTTTCAGCAGCCATTACTCCAGTCTTTATTATGGCACGATCCTTTAGAAATCATTCTAATGTCCTGATTTGCTGCTCTAGAAACATTTATTATTAGCAATATTAAAAGTTTTGCTGTTTAATAGTTTTTTTTTTTTGTAGAAACTGTGATGCATTTTTCAGGATCCTTTTATGAATAGAAAGTTCAAAAGATCAGCATTTATTTGAAATAGAAATCTTTTGTAATATTGTAAATGCCTTTACTGTCGCTTTTGATCAATTTCATGCGTCCTTGCTGAATAAAAGTATTAATTTCTTTAATACATTTTTTTTTTTACCAATTCTTAACTATCTAATAAGTAATATCTGTTCCATTTTTGCCTCTGTCAGCGGGAGACACAGACGTTCCCAGTATTTCGTAAGTCTACCTGTGGGTGAAAAAGGGAGTTGCTCTTCAGTCGTGCCCTTTTCATTCATTGTCGAAAGCTTTGTGGAAACACCCTTTGTGTGTGAAATATTCAAATCTAATTGCTGTTGTGTGGTGAAGGGAGGCCGGCTCCTGCAAGCGCACAAATGGAATCTGCTTGAAAGTGCTCTCACAGTGTCATGTGTCTCCAGCAAATACAATAGCGTTTAAAAGCACCATAAAGTAGAGCCGGTTGATCTCACACACCCGCGTCCTCTTCATCCACAGTGGTTCTGATCGGTGACTCAGGAGTGGGCAAGAGTAACCTGCTCTCTCGCTTCACCCGCAATGAGTTCAACCTGGAGAGCAAGAGCACCATCGGGGTGGAGTTTGCCACACGCAGCATCCATGTGGAGGGCAAGAACGTCAAGGCCCAGATCTGGGATACGGCTGGACAGGAGAGATACAGGGCCATCACATCAGCGTAAGTGTCTTCAAAGACTCTGTTAAGACATCAACTAATTGAAGAAGTCCAATTGTTTTGTGCACCAGTTTTTAAAAATGTAATTAATAAATGTAACTATAAAATAAAAATGTAATTAAATTACTAAAATAAATATAATATAATAAATATAAACTACAGTGTGTGCATAATTATTTGGCATATTAATATTCTTATTGTATTGTTTTTTTCCAAGCACATTTCACCAATTTCAAACCAATCCATCAGTCAACCTTAATAACTACTATTAATTTTGCGTAGAGTCATTTATAACTGATTTATAGTTGTTAGCAAGAACTGGAAGTAAAAAAAAAAAAAGGTTTTTATTCAGATATGCATAATTATTAAGCAGGTTTTCTTTTACAGGTACAGTTATTAAGATCGATGTGGCTTGGATTTTTTTTTAATGTGCTTGGAAAAAATGTCATCAGAATCATTTTAATTAATTCTCATTTTAAACAAAAAAAAATTAAGTTTTAGGCCCTTTCGGTTAAAAACAATTTATTAGGCATGTAAAAAATACAATTTTGTCGTGACTTGATAGACGATATTGATCTTACAATACAATACACACAATACTTTAAACAAAGCCAAAATAGAGTTAAAATAGTAAGGTTTTTAAAATTATTTCTTCTAAGACATATGATAATCAGTTAACGAAAAGTACTGTTCATTAACCAGAATAGAAATATTCATTCTTCTTAGCTAAAAATACAGAATTATGTTAGATGCACATGCTTGCACTCTGTCCCTGACTAGATATGTGCAAAAAGTTTTAAATATTGTACTTTATTAAATTAATAATAACAATATATATAAATAAATAAATGCGTGAATTAACTAGAAGAATAACAAAGTGCAGTAAATTTTTAAAACCATTTGCTATTATGATGATAAATTAAAATATAGTTTTTTTTTTGCATAGTTAAAATTACTGGAACCGACTGACACTGGAAACCTCGCACATTGAAGTTAAAAATGGCTGTGCCCCCTCTTATGTTAAAAATATAAGGTGGATAATTGTGCCAGGTTTCTAATCATTTGAGCTTCCCTTTTTACTGTATAGTACAATGGGAGGATGTAGACTCCCGTCAAGTGGGAAGTATTTGAATAATAAAAAAAATCAACACCGTTTGGCCCCTAATGATGTACACTCAAATAAGATAACGACTTTAATAACAGTAGTTTTATTTCATATGACCAGCCAAATACTCCTTGGTAATCACACTATTATTGGGCAACTTAGATTGTGGAATAAATGTGGTGTTTGTGTGTCTTTTAGTTTCTGAATAATGACTGCATATAACATCTGTGTGTGTGTTCACAGGTATTACAGAGGTGCCGTAGGAGCCCTGCTGGTGTATGACATTGCCAAGCACCTGACCTATGAGAACACCGAGCGCTGGCTGACAGAGCTGCAGGATCATGCTGACAGCAATATTGTCATCATGTTAGTAGGGAACAAAAGTGACCTGCGCCATCTGAGGGCCGTTCCTATGGATGAAGCCAAAGCGTTTGCAGGTTAGTGTTGTGACTTCATTAGCTAGTGTGAACTGTAATTACTCAAGAGTTTCTATAAGTGATGCTTTTCTGGCAAATCAAATGTATAGAATGACACCTAAAAACACTAGACTTGTTCATATAATTTACCAAGATTTATATTAAGGAGTAGGAATACTAAATATTTCATTGTAAAATTGAGACCTAATATGTCACTTTTGTGAAGACAGCTTGTAAAGTTGAGTTAACTAAATAATTTTTAAACCGCCAAAGGTCATTTGGAACACCTTTAAAGGTCACCGAGGTGCTGTGCTGGTAGTGTTCAAGGCCTGTTGGCTGAGGTGTTTACATTACAGGTCTTGTTGCTGATTGGTCAGTTTGAATGTCTCCGATTTTTAGTCACATGGTCAGGAATGAATATGTTTGTATTTTCATTTCTTTGGGCTCTGAGAAGTTGAACGCTACATTGTAACCTTTTAAAGCAGTACTGCTAATAAAATGATGGGGCATCATGTAAACTATTTTTTAGGAAATGTTGATTTAGCATTACTCATTTATGTGTAATGCATTCCATTTAACAATCAAGTCACAATGCTGTCCGCATATTTTGCTATCTCCGTTGTTGTGTTAAGGTGGTAATTGGCAAATGTAGCTTCATACCATGATGTTGTTGTATTTACTTTAACATTTGGCAAATATTTTAATCTTAAGTGTATTACAGTGCAGTTAAGATATACGTTGCCTTTGATACACCATGGCTTTGGTGTTTCTGGTGCTGTGCTCTGTGGTTTGCGATACCTGCTGTTAACTTTTTTCTTAGTTATCTTGAGTACTGAATGCAGTAATGATTATTTGCTTGCTAGCTGGTCTATGTTCTATCTAAATATTTATACAAATTGTTTATGATAAATAATGTATTTGGGAAGCTATATTTATTTCATATAACTTATATTTTTGTGTGTGATTTTACAGAGAAGCATGGACTTTCTTTCCTGGAGACCTCAGCGCTGGACTCTTCTAATGTTGAACTTGCCTTTCAGACCATTCTTACAGGTCAGTCCTGAGCAAATCATTTAGAAGGGTGAATATCACAAAGCTTTTGGAGGTGAATCTCATGAAAACTGTGAAGAACATGTACCAGTAATTTTTTATTAAGAACATTCTCATTACTGTAATGTCAAGAATAGTATTTAAATAGCAAAGTATTTATGCATAATTTAGTATATAAAAAAAACATTTTCAAACGTTGTGAATTTTTAATTTTAGAGCGAAATGCGATCTAGTTGTTTATTTATTAACTGGACGTTTCTGACATTCAATTCTGCTTAACTTATGCATTCTAAATATCTGTACAATATATACATCAGCAAAAAAAAAATGCTCTGGCATTTTTTTCCAACTGTTACAAAATTGAATTGCTCCATTTGTGGTAGAAGTTATTGAAATTTGATGCTTTCCAAAAACGAAACAAAATTATTATTGTTGTTGTTGTTTTTGTTATATATTATTAAAGGGATAGTTCACCCAAAAATGAAAATGTGATGTTTATCTGCTTACTCCCAGGGCATCCAAGATGTAGGTGACTTTGTTTCTTCAGTAGAACACAAATGGAGATTTTCAACTCCAGCCGTTGCAGTCTATCAGTCGTATAATGCATGGCAATGGTAACAAAATCTATGAGAGTAAAAAAAAAAGCATTATATGACTGACAGACTGCAATGGCTGGAGTTAAAAATTTCCGTTTGTGTTCTACTGAAGAAACCAAGTCACCTACATCTTGGATGCCCTGGGGGTAAGCAGATAAACATCAAATTTTCATTTTTGGGTGAATTATCCCTTTAATTTATGATTTATTACAGAACAGATTTGTAAGGGTAAAGAACAGAATATATTTTTTTCCCCCCCTTGAAATTACTAATAAAAAAAATGAAGGGAACCAGAAACATAAAGTTCTTCCAGAAATCAAAATTGTCATGATTTACTGAAATAATGCAAATTATGACACTTTTTTTTATCTATTCTTTTAAATATTTGAAAAAACTAATGTGAAAAGCCAATTCTTACTTGTGTTAATACAGTAAAAAAACACCCAAAAATAAAGCATAAATACAATTACTTTAAAGGGGTCATATGATGCGATTTCAAGTTTTCCTTTCTCTTTGGAGTGTTACAAGCTGATTGTGCATAGATAAGATCCCTGAAGTTGCAAAGACTAAAGTCTCAAAACCAAAGAGATATTCTTTATCAAAGTTAAGACTCTGCCACGCCCCCCTAAAACGGCTCGTTCTAACACGCCCCCACATATCTACCTCACTATGTGGAAATATTTGCATAATGCGCCCAAATGTGTACGCAAAGAAAGAAGGCGTGGTTTCAGTAACCGCAGTTAGTGTTGAAGCAGCATGTCAGGGAGACGCTGTGTGTTTCTAGGCGAAAGCAAAAGCACTTTATTTGGCCTTCCAGAAGTAGATGCATTTAGGAATCTTTAAGAT